CTAATTTTAAATTCCTTCCCCCTCATATAATTTTTGAGGAATTTTCTAACTCTTGCTAAAATTCAATGTTCTAAGTACCACTACATTAACACCACATGTATACCCTACCTTTAAGTCCTGTTTAAGTCTTTTAGGAGTCAAAAGTTTAGGAGATAAAAAAATTTGTACAATGGATTTTTTTATGCTTGTTAAAATTTGAAATTCATCTTAGTATGGGTTATCTATGTCTGAATTACTGTAATAATATAAAAACACAGCATGTCAGTTTTATAATTTTTCATTGAAACTTGACCAATGTGCTTGCTGATTTAAAAATACAATTACATCAGAAACACTTTCAAGCTTTCTATCTCAGCAAAAAGTTACATTGTATGTTTGAGGCAAGTGTATCAGTTAACAAACTGACCTGTAAGTTTCTACCCCATTCATTTTCTTCATTTATCTTCTTGTCTTACAGTGTATCAATCAGAGCCGGTGTGTTAGTTTATAGTGTTTGTAGTGCTAGTTTGTAGTCTTGTTGGAGTCCAAAAGCCACACTTCTCCAATCTGACAGATGTCAACCACAATTACCCAGGTACTATCATCTAGATTAATTTGGCCATACTTGAGCTGTGTGGGTTAAAAGAACAAAAAAACTGCAACATTCATCCATTTAGAAATTGTCAGAAACACAAATAACATGCTACTCCTCTGAGGAAGTGCAGTTCAAATAGACTGCTTCTATAGTAATTCAGTACCAAAAAGGTCCTCTTTAAGTGAGCTGGTTGTCTCAACAAAGACTAAGGTACCCCACACAAGTTTTGTTAAGCAATAAATAAGATGTTGGAAGAACATGAGAGAAGTTTATAAACCATGAGGCAGTGAGCAGAGTATAAATAGTGCGAGAAGTGAGTACAAATTTCATGCTGTATTTGGACAGTTGGTTCCTTTTTAATTAAAAAAAACACTGTTTAACTACTCAGCTGCATATGCTATGCTACTCTATCTGCCATGCTTTCGCCACTTTGTCAGAAATGCAAAAAAAAAATTTTTAATTTTGTAATTTGTCTTGCTCTGCAGGCTCGTCAAAATAAAGCACAACTCATAAAAAATGTCATTGATACTACACACCAAAAATTAATGTCTAATAAGATATATTTCCGAGGCATGTTGACTCACATAGCCATTTTGTTACTCTGGATCTTAATGAGATAATTGGCCATAGTTTAACATCTTTTTTATGTTGCAGTATGTTCATGGTGCATTTGAAAAACTAGTTATACTGTACCTTAACTACCTTTAAAGTTTGGACTGACCCAAAAACTTAATAAACATCATTCTGTAAAAGCATGTTATTGTTGCAAGTTTCTAATACATGCATTTTAACCTCTTGATTGACTTACATGTGATTCACTGATTTAGTTACATGTACAAAAAGAAACCTTCATTTAGTTCAAATGTTTGAGTAGATAAGTTAATTTAGTTGGTTTCCGAAATGAACTGTGGTGTTCAATGTTGATTCTATCAACTCAGGTAATGCTACATAATTTTCATCGCCAGTGAGGTTCATTGTTGTTCATTATTCCAAACATATCCAAATTCAATTTATAATAAAATATAAATTTCAGATCAAATTTATCTTTTCAAAGCATATGAAAATGGCCTATAGTGTGGCCAGAGAATTGCTAAGGAAGAGCATTACTGTTTTAGGGGGTTGTGTTAACACTAAGGGTAAAACATTTATTTAATTAAGAACAATATTATGGGGACCTCAATTATTGTTTTAAGTAAGTATCAATAAATCAACTTATCTGTCCTGATTCAAACAAAAAGATCTCTTTAACAATTATTCCCTGAAGGCAAAGTGAATATTGTTTAACAATCCCTGTGACAAAGGCAAGGGGACTATTCAATAATGTTCATGATATTTATTTTGTTGTCAAAACCTTTCTATTACAATTGTTTTGATTACTCATATAGAGATATGTAGCAAGTTTTCACAACAATTTAATCAGCAGCTTTATTTAATCCAATCAGCAAAAACTTCTGTCATATCTTTTTTTCGAAGTGTTACATCAAACTTAATAGCATCTTTTATGCTCTTCAGAATTAAGTTTTCTTCTATCATGGTTATTAGTTCCTTGGTAACACTAGAGTGACTTAGCAAGAGGACTGGAACATCATTTTAGAGTAGGAAAGTGCACAGATAATCTGGACATGACTCTATTTCAACTTTTGGTGTTAGTGTTGCCATTCTCCCCAACAAGTTCAGGGCGTCGTTTCACTGGTTTTCTTGTCATGATCAAAACACCTGGGATTTGTGTTACTTGTGCTCTTATAAATGAGATAATGCTGTTTGGAATGATTTCAGAACTCCAAGATAACCAGGTCCCTTTCTTTGTTTTAGTTGGTGTGTTTGCGAAAATTTACCACAGACTACATTTATTCTGGATTCCCAAAAGGAAACATGATTGTTAGTATAAGCCATCCAAGATTTCTAGGCTCTGAGTTCGCTTTTAATTGAGCAAGGCTCTAAACAATGTAAGGACTTTCCTTTGATAAATTCTTTTAACCCTGAATGACAACTCTACAAATGGGATGCAGTTAATTTTATCGTAAATTAATTCATCAATAAATTAAACTTGCTTCATGTTGAAGTTTGTCAAAATGAAATATCACAAAGCTTACCTACTGTATTATCCAGTGTTATTTGTTGTCATTATCATCTTTACCGTGATTAAAAAATGTTCTGCAAATTGAAGGCAGAGATAAAAATTTGAAAATAGCTTGGGTTTGCACTTTTAATGTCTTAAATTTTTGATAAGTACTGGTGAAAACTTAAAGACAAGAAAGTCATGCTCTCCCTATGAAAGAAAATGACAATCAACTTGATTTTGGCATGGCTTTCTAAATTTATCAATTTGATTCAGTCTTGATAAACTTTATTCTTAAAAAGAAAAAAAATTAAGTAATGAAAAAAATAGAAAAGGAATGAAGTCTTATTCCTAAGTCAAGCCATTTTTTTTGGGTGATTACTTTGAGTACACTTCATTTGTTCAGGGTTAAACAGGAACTCATTATATAAAAAATTTGAGAATAAAATACCAACATTTGATAGATGAATCAGCAGACTCGAGACTTAACTGGGATGGAATAATTTCAAAGTCTAATCACCCATGTGGATTCATATTACCAACTTACATGCAGCATCTATATAACTATCCTCTGTTTGTGCTTGTTACATAACTCTCAAAGAAGATAATTTTGTTGTCCCTAGGGTGGTCTTTAAAACTGAAAGTTCAAAGGTGATGGTGATCTTAAAAGAGCTGAGGTTAGGATATTCAAGAACAAACATAACATTGACAGTCCATTGCAACGGCTGCTAAGTCGCTTTCAATGTTCTTGACTCAGTTTCTTACTCATATTTTTGCTGTGCATGTCATTGTCAACTGATGTTCCCATCCTCATCACTCTTTTGACAAAACATGAGGTGACCATTTTGAAATTTAGCCCCCTCGCTGTAATCACTTGGTGCAAGTTGATTATAGCAAGAAATGTCACAATCCTCTGCCAATCAGAGTGCACACATCTTTGTACTCTCCACAACAGTTTTACAGATATTTTTTATCCCCAGCTTTATTCTTTATAGCTTTCACTTGAAGTTTCCACTGTTTGGAAATGAATTGAATATTTGGGGTTACACAGGTAAAGGTAGGAGCAAACATGGTATAATTATTGGGGCAAAATCATCCCAACACAGGAAAACTGACAGAGAAAAAACTTGCAAAGTTTAACTATTATTAATGTCACACAAGTTTATTTTGTATAAATCTTACCAGGTTGGATGCAACCAAATTTCTAATTCTCCACGGAATCGCCATTGACGCACAATTATCTTTAATTTTCCCTGATTCCAGCCTTCAAACATAATGAAGTAGGTCAAGTAGCATTCAACACGATCCCAGAAAATTGTTTTGGGCGCTAAAAATAAAAAAAAACATTAGAAGATTCACTCTGTATGCTTTACCATACAACCCACGAGACTGACGCCATTATAACCACTTGCAAAGTAATATGGGAATTGTCAAATGTTACTTCCGCCTTCCTTCACTGAAGGAGAGACCCTGGGGATGAGACGTGATGAAGATAGGATTTTTCATAATATATTTTTCAAGAAAATTTATTGCAAGAAGAATTCGTGGCAAGGAAATTACCAAATTTTCATACTTACCTTCTCTTCCTGGATAAAAGTCGTGTTATTTTCGTGTTCATATCACCCGATCCGCCACTTTTACTGGCGTCCTGACATTGTTAGGATTGTCACAGTGTATGAGAGCGACTTAACATGCATATCAGAAAAGCACACCATTGCTAGATGAAAACGATGATGTAATTGGACGGTTGCTTGTAATCGGACCCCTGTAATTCTTAGACATTTACATCAGCCAATCACACTAAGAACATACAAATAGGTCCACCAATCACAGAATTGATTTCACAAACCATAACAACAACTTACCATCTGGAGCTGGGGATTTCCGAAAAATGGAGGAAAAAAAGAAATAGGAAAAGGAGAAGGAAAAGGAGATTGTAATGGCTGAGTGCAGTGTTCAAAAACTGCTATTACAAGTTCTTCTTTCAATAAATAGATGGGTTTTCGCGGAAATTGTAATGATTGTAATTAAATGGTAACATAACTTTTTGTCGTCCAATTCGGTCATTAAGCTTACTCATGATTGACAAATCGAACTCCCGCTTTGCGGATGTCCCATTTTTTTAAATGCTCGCACGAGTTACAGACTCCACCCGATCTTATTACTATTATTTATCGACTGGAACCAGCTGAAACACACAGGAACCCTTTTGTTAAACGCATCATGTGATAAGACCGTATCAAAAGTTGTCTCGTTGCTCAATAACACTCAAAGGTCTTCGGCCTCTGTTGTAAACTCTTCAAGCTGAGCACTGTAAATATATTTAGTATTCAACACTTTTGATTGTAAAATTTACGGTCAAAGCTGATGGAGTGCCGTGTACTAGCTTGGTTGATCTTCATTCTTGTGCTTGTCTGCATTACGACTGAAGCATCGCACTTCCGACACGGCAGTATAATGTGGGCTCCAGATAATTCTAACAGCAATAAGGTATGGTAATTATTGTAAAAGAATCTCTACGAAGCCTCAAAAAGTTGGCTATCCTCTACTATATAGTTACCCAATTTAATCACGTTGAGTTGTATGGAAGTCTGTATGCTCTTGGAATTTGTGAAAATCTTTCCTAATTCCACCTTAAGGCGATTTTTGAGAATTAATTTGCATGTTTTTCTTAGCATTCTTAAAAGCCATTCAGCTTTGCCTTAACTTAAGAGAAAACGAACCTGAAATAATTTCTTTCTTGAGTAGAAAAAGAAAAAAGAGGCAATAGTTGAATGACGATAGCTAAATTGTTTACCCCACACAAATTGCAATCGAGTAACTTGAATTTTTAGGTGAAATTAAGTTTCAAGATGGAAATATAGAGAGATTCGGAAATATGTACGTGAAAGCAAAGTTCACAAACTAGTTGCCTTTTGCGTTTGCAAGATAAAACTCCTTTTCGGTAAATGATGCGCAATTATCAAGGTAGAAAAATGAATACAAAAGATAGAACTTTAGTCCAGATTCCCGAGATATCACCAAAAATTCTCCCCTCCAGCCTCGATGCATTTCCTTTTAAACTAAGAAGCTGATAAAAAGTTGTGTTTGTTAAGGCAACGCCCTTAAGCTGATACGTTTTTGCAGTCTTATAAACGTTTTGCTAGATAATGGATAACGTATTGAGGGTGTCGAGAAGAAAAAAAAAAGGCTAATGAAACGAAGGTCACCATGTAAGAATTATTCAAAAAGCTGCTCTCAGAGTTTTAGAAAACTTTATATGGCGAGGTAACATCAGGTTAAAGGCAACCCTTTACACTGTTGTAAGGTATGTAAATGTTAGGTGTTCCTATCATGTCGCAGCATATTTATCACGAGCTTATCATGCTAGTCATGTGCTTCCATTGTTTGAATAGTTTGAAAGTCCAAGGTCGGTCAGAGCTTAGCCCTTTTAGTATGTTCCTAATTAGAGGTGTTTTGGCTATCTTTTATCTATTTGTATTTAAAAACAAAAAAAAAAGAATACATTGTAAAAAAAAAGTGTTTCCGTCGAACATCATGCACGTTTTAATTTCTCCGAGATCTGGCGAGCAGTCATGATGCAAAGAGGAAAAACATTTTTGGATGTCTGGCGTAACAGGCTTGGAATATTACTCTAAAAAAAACGTACCACCATAAGCCTTGATACAGTCGTTGTGAAAACAGTCATAAACTTTAGTTTAAGTGTTTTGGCTAAGTATAAAAAGAACGAAATGAACTTAAACATTTGCAAATGATATATTCTGACCAAAGTGGGCTGTGTCCCACATTAGGAGATTTTACGTCCCAGAATCAGTTCAGAAGGCAATTCGTCGATTTTCTTCGCAAAAGTTCTACTCCTCGCTGATAAATTTCGATACATGCGTGAAGTAGGAGACTTCGAGAAACATAATTTCCCAAATTTAAGAGTGGTTTGCACACTTAACCCTCTCGCATCGTTAGAGGCAGGGTCTAAGATTGATACATAAACCGCGAGAGTTGAGTCCTTACGAAGATTTGCCAGTTTGGAATAAGTAAAGATATCTCTAAAGGGCAAAAATGTTTTTCTTCTTTCACAGGTTCAAACAAACAAATGTTTTTACAACAACACAATTTTTTTATGTACTTTAAGGAAGTTGGACTGCTTCAATTTTCGACGCACCATACTTGAGCGGGGTCAACTGTCTTCTCGAAATACTTAATTAACGCTCATTGCTTTTAGAGCGGCACCGGGCTTTATTCACTGTGTGCCACCTTTCCCATTCTATTATTTTGTAGAGACCAAAAATCATTACCTATACTTTAGTTCTTAATCGCGACATCAAGCAGAATCAAAATAATTCTCTAAACTCGCTACCATTTGGAAAACTGACCGAGATGACCCTCGTGACAGGAATTAGGGGAATTTAAAACTTAAAAACGGAACCCAATCTTCGCGTTTGCCATTGCTGTTAGTGCCGTGCTTAAAATACTGAACTTCGCAATTTGCGCGATTATATGGGTAACTTATGGGTACACAATACATACATGTGTGACCTACCTACTATACTCAGATACTTGGTCGTGCGGGCTACTCCAATGCAACTTATTACTGAAACGAAACTAAAAAAAATGTTGAGATAAAAATCGGGTTCGAAATTGACATTTAAATGTATATTAGACCGAGACTAGATTGTTTTCATTTGGAGAATCGACGGGGGGTGTTCTTCGAGACGAGACGCATATCAAGATAAAAATGCCATCAGTTTGGCAAAAATGAAGGCAAACTGCCAATTGCAGTAGGGTGTAATTCTTTGCTGAAAGACAATAGTTGATTTATCAATCACCACACTGAACAAATTGATTCTCATGGATGGTAAGATGATCTTTATCGTGGTTAGAATTTATAAAGTTGACGAGCGGCCTTTTGCACAAGCATAATTACACTCAATATGCACCGGATATGCGATCTGCGTTTATCGTGAATAGTGACCAGGAAAAGATGTCATATCAGGTTAAAATACAAAGAACCTTAATGAAATAAAATGTCACAGCATAGGAATTATAACGTGCGTTCTACGTCTGTTATTAGCTTGTTTTTTCATGTGCTTCAAATGTCTGAATTGGTTACATATGTACATGCATATTTGATTTGAATTTAAAAATAAAGGTCATATACTTAAAAAAATTAATTTCCCAACCAAGGGCGCCACAATTACATTCTTTTGAACCAAAAAAAACTGGAGCCGACTTCTTCAAAGCTGATTTCGTATATTAAAGAAAATTAATACAGCAGAGGGAGGAATTAGGAAAATATCAATTTATTACTACGTGTTATAACTAGTTATAGTTCTCACTAGAGCTGCCCCCGCCCTACAGTACCATTTTCTTTTTTTTTTTTTAGTTGGGCTTGTTGTTTACAGTTGTGTAGTTATGACCATTTGCGGGAAAAACGTTGATACCTTGCGGCCGTGCAAGCGATCAAATCGAGATTTTTTTGGTTACGATCAACCGAAAACACCTACATTCTCTCTTCTCCAGTCTTCCTCTATACTAGGACAAATCTCGTGTCAAAGACGCCGATCCTAAAAGTCCTCGCGCGCGTGTCTTTTTACTGGCAGCCCATGACCATTTGCGGGAAAAACGTTGATACCTTGCGGCCGTGCAAGCGATCAAATCGAGATTTTTTCTGGTTATGATCTACCGAAAATACCCACATTCCCTCTTCTCCAGTCTTCCTCTATATTACGCGGGGAGTCCTAAGGTGCCTCCTCGGGTTTTTGGCCCTCTGGGGCCAAAAACCCTGCGGGGGCAACAATTATCTGACTGGATTAGAAGTGACTTGTCTGTACAAAATCGTGAAATTAATGACTTTTCACACAGTCCTTCCAATTGATGAGCCAGTGAAATAATATCTTTTCCCTGTGTGCTTTAAGTGTCATTGTCTGAGAAAGTGTTCCAGGGGCCAAAACTTGTGGTCAACCGATTTGGCTGAAACTTGGCACAGAAGTTGGTTGCCATGAGATATTTCAAAAGCCAATCTGGCTCACTTCTCTGACTTTAAGTTCTAGAGTTTCAGGGGGGGTCTCATTTTTTGCCCCTTGAGTACAAAAAATCCAGCCTTTCAGGGGTCATTTTGAAAGTGCCATAAAACCCAACTGGTAAATTGTGCTGCCAAATGAATTTGACTATGAATATTTCTATAATAGAGCTTTCATTTCATGCATGTAACTTTGCCTTCAAGGTATTGGACAGAGAGGAGCCTGGGGCTAGAGTTTGGCCAAAATTAATGTCAAAATTACAACCCAAAATTGCCATTTTTCAAAAAATCAGTGTATCTACCTGCCTTCTTGCATAACATCCGTACCTATACCATTATTTACTTTATTGACCCAATTATCAAAATCACTTGAGAAAAATTTGGCTTATCACGGTTTGTTGAATTTTTGCCACAAACACTCCATGCCCCTCTAAGGCCCTGCAAAATGGAACTTTGAGCATAGTTAATGCCATAAACAAACCAAACTGTTGACATGAAGCCCTGATTCTGTATTTGGTAAGTGAAAATGAATTGTTAAAGCCAAACCAGTTTGATTGTTCAGAATTACCCCGACTCTTACCATACAATTGCTCTTAAAAGGCCTTTCATTGGGCAAAAAAAAAGGGTGACTTTTTCTTTGAAAACCTAGTACAGCCAACTTTGTCACAGCGAACTGGCTTTTCGTAAGCGATCACCCGGCATGATCACGTACGACTGTAAGAAAACCATTGCTCAAATATCACAAAAGTTCAGTTTCAAAAAGCGCTGACCAAGTGTGCTCGCAGATTATAACAGTTGACTAGCAAAAAAGGCTGTAATACGATCCATAGGTAAAATTGGATTGAATCATTGATGAAAGATGTTATGTACAAATTTTCAACAGTTCTAAGCGCCATTCGGTTTGAGACATTGTTGGCAGTTGTCTGTTTGCCTGAGTTTTTGCTTGTTAGGTAATAATTTTATGTAATCACGTTCAAATCACTTCGGTTTGAGCTTAATTTCTTATTTTTTTCCCGTAGATGACCACCTTTCAGCATAAGCGACCACTTTGTCCTGCATCAAGGGTGGTCGCTTACGAGAGTGTTGACTGTACCAGTCATAGGGCACAAATGACAATGTTCTTACCTTCATATAAAAATACTTGAGTTTTTCTCTGACTTATATTTTTCAGGTCATATTTCCATGTATTGCCGCAAGCATGGAAAGTCCCCATAATTTTCCAAGCCATATTTTAAAAGATAAAGTAAGCTTACAAAACGATCGTTAACCGATAATCTTTGCCTGACGTTTTTTATAGCCTAAATAGCTCTTGCAACAGTAATGAATCGTGACCAAACGTAGATACTGTGTACATATATACGAGCCACAATGATCAGCATCTAGGTGACCCACGATCTATCAGATTTCCCAAATACTTTAGCGCTCAGTAAGTGAAACCACAGAAGGGATCC